CGGACGAAGTCCAGAGGTTCATTAAGCAACCTCTGGACCCGACAGCTTATAGATAGGCCCTGAACGGCATTCACAGGGACTCAGTCTCGAGTTATGTATACTCTAGACCTGTGAATGCCGTTCTAGGCACACCACCCCCGGACATTGNGGTTGAATGAGGATGTGCCGAATGAGTGTCCGGCATGCGGAGAGACCCCACATGACTCGAAACATCTCTTCGCATGCCCGGAAAACCCGACAACCCTAACGGCCTTGTCCCTGTGGACAAACCCCACAGAAGCTGCATGCTTCCTAGGGTTGCCATTAGTGGAACTTGACGACAACGACTGAGATACCAACCGATCTGGGCGGGGTTGTTGTAGCCGCTACAACAACAACAACAACAACGGAAAAACAGCACCAACTGGAAAAATTGTAATTACATTTGACCTTTACCAACTGCCAAAAACATTGGATGTAGCATGGTACAAAGTACGGGTAGACCCCTTCTTTCCCAATCCCATGAGATGCCGAAATGGCCAACGCTTAGGACACACAAAAAATCGTTGCTCGAATCCCACTACCTGCGAAGGTTGTAACTTACCCCCACACTCGCCCGACACATGTACTCGTAACCAATGTGCGAACTGCGGCAATGAACACCCCTCCTCGGACAAAAACTGCCCGCGATTCCACCAAATGAAAGAAGTACTGCAAATNCCGGCAATGAACACCCCTCCTCGGACAAAAAACTGCCCGCGATTCCACCAAATGAAAGAAGTACTGCAAATAAAAACTATTTTCAAATGCTCGATGGGCGAAGCCTACAAAAAATATAACGAAAAAAACACACTATCACATAGCACAAACTCCTATGCATCTAAAGCTAAAAAATCTCCTCACCTTAATCACTCAACAGCACCAGCAAGCAAACCATCAACTTCATCAACAGCAAAACTAAAACGTCCCGCTTCTCCACTAAACAACAATTCAGATAATAACAACAAAAAAATCAACTTAATCACAAAGAAAACCCAACCTATCAAAAGTGTAAGCAACATGCAAATAAGCCAAGATCCCATACAGNTACGTCCCGCTTCTCCACTAAACACCAATTCAGATAATAACAACAAAAAAATTAACTTAATCACAAAGAAAACCCAACCTATCAAAAGTGTAAGCAACATGCAAATAAGCCAAGATCTCATACAGGCCACAACCTCCGAAAGCTCCACCCAGTCACCACTTTCTAATCTTACCCAACAACTCATAAACCACAACGAATACTATATCCCGAGATCAGAAACAAAATCTCCATCCAACGAAATTTAATTCTAAGGCTTAACCTCGTAAATTCAAATTTACAAGGCTACAAGCTCTCTTCATACAAATGATCAACAGATTCAATATTTTGCAATGGAACATAAANTCAGTCACCACTTTTTAATCTTACCCAACAACTCATAAACCACAACGAATACTATATCCCGAGATCAGAAACAAAATCTCCATCCAACGAAATTTAATTCTAAGGCTTAACCTCGTAAATTCAAATTTACAAGGCTACAAGCTCTCTTCATACAAATGATCAACAGATTCAATATTTTGCAATGGAACATAAAAGGTTTCGTTAACAATAATATTGATTTCGAATTAATCCGCAAAGAACACAACCCACATTTGATTGCCCTACAAGAAACACACTGTCCTATTGGCTTCAACCCTATTCCTCCGAAGAACTACACAGCATAGTAACAATAGCTCACACACATACGCTAAGCAAGGAGTGGGAATTTTGTTTAAATCTAACATACCACACAAGCACACTCCAATCGCTTCTCCTATCCA